TATAGGTTTCAGGGAATAGGAGTCACTGAATCAAATAATAGAAATGAACTTAGTGCCAAGGACTAAATAACAGAACCTTGAACAACCTGTTTGTCTAGACAGGGTTTTTCTGTGTAGGCTTGCCTGTCCTGAAACTTGTTCTAAGGACCAGGCTGGCCTTGAACTCACAGAGATCCACTTGCCTCTGCCTCAGGAGTGCTGGGATTAAAGACATGACCACCACCGGCCAGTGGGGAATCTGACTTGTAAACCATACCTAAAGCTGTATCGAGGTTACAGAATTTACGTGCCTGGATTTATGGTTCTCATGTCCTCTTTTTATTAAGGATTTTTATCACAGATACATGCCTAAAAGAAGTGAATTTTGAACCATTGAAAATTGAACATAATCTCAGGTTTAGGAATGAGATGAGCAGTGTCTCAGGCTAGCCCACAACTCCTTTAAATATGACTTCTTTGTATCCCCCTTGAGTCCCAAATTTCCTGGGGACATGAGCACTGTGCTTTGGCACTTTAGTGTGAGATGTGACTTCTGTCCCTGTTGCATGTGTTGACTGAACCACGGGTGCCGGCTTAGGCATGATAAGGGGTGGTGAACAGGAGGGAGAATTGAGGACTACTTTAGATACTGTTTAGTTTGGTTGAGGTTCTGTTTTAGTGTTTTAGAGAGGAGGGAGGCAGACAGGGTCTGGGTGTATATCCAGGCTGGCCTGCAATTCACTGTGGCTTTTCTGCATGTCTCAAGCTCACAATCCCTACATCAGCATGCAAGGGCCAAGACTAAGCTAGATTCCTTGAAGCCTTTGGGTGGAGATGAAGATCTCTGGCAGGATGTTAGGGAAAGTGGGCTCACATGTGGGTGGCTCAATCATACTAGCTGCTCTTTCTGTGATTTCTTAATAACCTGCAATTGTGACTGAATAAGGATACCCAAATGTTATCCTTTTTCCTGATAAAGAAATCTGACGAGACACCCTGAACCCCAAGATTCCTTCTGCTGCAGCAGGTGGGTTCAGGGCCAAAGAGGATTGTGGAGTCAGCAGAAGACATGGAGGAAGAGATGGGTGTGATCTGAGGTTAAATCTGGTGGCTGACAGCAGTGTTTAATTGAGAAAAGATTGCTCCTTTTCTATGGTATTGTTGCATATAGGATTAAAGGAGAGACCAGGGTCTGTGAACTGGGGTATGTCTTGAGATCAGGGTTTGAGGAATCTAGCATTGACCTTGCCAATTGGCACCAGTCACATGTTAATGGAAGGGCCACAAGTTCCTCTTGCTGGAGATAAGAAGAATGAGAGCTTTACCAAGCAGGAACTTTCCTCAAACTCCCAAGGAATGAAGACCCAGATCCAAATGCCTGATTTTGGGAAAAGAACTTCTAGGGAGCAGACACAGTTTCTTTGTCTTACTGTATGGGCCAGTTCTCATTGCACTACCAAAAGGGAAGATCCCGATGTCTTATTCTTTTCCCACTATACTGGACCATCTGTATTTATTAATTGAACTCTTGCCTTTAATGGCCTCAGTCTCTGGATCTGAATTGTAGGCATTTCATCCTTGGGATCAGGTATGTCTGGTATGGGGCCCAGTAGATCTCAGCCACACGGGTCCAGAACAGTTTGGCCACATTGTTGCCAAGATGTACACAGAGACTACTCTTTTGTTCCCAGTAATCCAGACCCAAATAATCACACAGAAACTATATTAATTACAACACTGCATGACCAATGGCTTAGGTATATTCCTATTTAGCTCTTATATTTTGAATCAACCCATTTCTATTAATCTGTGTATTACCACTAGGCAGTAGCTTACCAGACAAGGTTCTGGTGTCTTCCCCCTTCAGCGGCTACATGGCATTTCCTGACTCTGCCTTTTTTCTCTCTGCATTCAATTTGGTTTTCCCTGCCTAGCTCTATTTATTCTGCCCTGCCATAGGCCAAAGCAGCTTCTTTATTAACCAGTGGTCATACAGAGTGGAATCCCACGTCTCTATAACCCTTAATGAAAACCAGATAAAAAGTAGTCCTGAGTGTCTAGGACAAGCCTCAAGTAGATTCACACATTCCAGGGTAGGAGCATGGGGGTTAGAATTATAAAACAAAAAGGAACAGAGAAATAAGAGACGAAACACAGATCAGAACAGCATGGGCAGGGAAACTCAATGAGCACTTGTAGGCAGAGGCTGCCTGTTTGTCTCAGCTGCCCAAACCCAAAATAATCACACAGAAACTATATTAATTAAAACACTATTTGGCCTATAGTTTAGGCATTTTTTATTTAGCTCTTGCATCTTTAATTAACCCATTCCTATTATTTTTATTTTACCATGAGGCTCGTGGTTTACTGGTAAGATTACAGCAGGCAGGTGTCTTTTTCCTTTCGGCTACATGGCGTCTCCGTCACTCTCCTTCTTTTCTCCTCAATCTACTTGGAATCCTCACCTTGTTCTATTCTGCCCCTGTAATAGGCCAAAGCAGCTTTACTCATTAACCAATAAAAGCAACATATCTACAGAAGGACTTCCCACACCATTTCCCCTTCTCTGTCCAAATAAAAAGGAAGGTTTTAACTTTAAAATAGTAAAGTTACATATTCAAACAGTATCAAAAAATTACAGTTATAATATTTTTATCTGTTTTACCTTTCATCATAACTACGGAAAACTATAGCTATCTATTCTGCAACTCCATCAAAGTCCTCAGAAGGATATAATATTACCTAAGTAAACAGGAAGTGCATTGCAAGCAACTTCTAAAACTCTAGAATTGACAGAGACATCTCACTGCTTGGACAGTCACCCAAAGTTCTTTTGCAACATTGGGGCATCTGTTTTCAGCCTACAGTCCCAGAAGACATTCCCCTGAAACAGATAATTTGAAGATCTGTTTTGCCTCGTAATGGCAAAGCTCATCAGATGCTTTTTTCTGTGTCCTGCAAAATGTCTGGCCGTACTTTCATGAAGTAGGATTCCTGAAGGACTGTCTCACCTTTAGACAAGTTTAGCAGTCATTTTTTTGTGGGTCCTGCGTGTCCAGTTCATACAGCATACCATCAAGCAGTCCGGGCCAGAGCAGTTTCTTACCTAAATGGTGACCAAACTCTATGAGGAGCCTCTTCAATACCCAGCAACCTCTCTGAAGTAACTGGTGCTGCCAGAAATAGACATATCTCACTGTTGAGAAAAACCTAAGTTCTTAAAACATTTTTAATGCCATAATCTGTATGTCTTTGAAAGATTTGAAGTATACCCATGCACCTGCAATATAGCTCTATATGGAGAAAACCTAATCCAAGCTTGACTATTATAGCTATCTATTAACCTTCTTTTTTTTTAATTTTTTTTTCTATTAACCTTCTTAATTATACATTATATTTTAAAATGAGTTGTACAAACACAATACCTTATTCAAAAGCAGAAATATACATATAACAAAATTGACCTTAAATTTGTATCAACAGACCAAGATTTACACCAATGTAAAGTATTCATCTCTTTAGAATATTCCCCTTTAAATGAAAACAAACATTTATAAACTATATTTGGGAATTTGGACATAGTTCTTTCCAAACTGCTTCCTGCTTTTTGTTGGGCATAATATTTTAGGGGCTTCACAGAGACGTCTTGGGGAATCTTTATTCATCAAACAACACTAGTCTGGAAAGAATCCACAGGTTTTCATCCTCTGTGGAAATAAAAGCACAGCCTTCACTGATATTGCTGGGGCAGAAAGACCTCTCTTCTTGGAGCTGCTGTTCCCCTACTTGCTATGAGCAAATAAGCCCTCTGGAAAAAAAAATGTGACTGCCAAGAAGCTGTGCTAAACTCGTTTTTTTTGTGTGTGTGTGTGTCTAGAATTTTTTTAAGGCTCTCTTAGGTTTTATGTGAATGTAGTTGCCCACATTGGTGCCATTCTGTTGGCAGAGACTCCTTGTTCATTCCTGACTGTCTGGACCTGAAATAATCACACAGAAACTATATTCATTAAAACACTGTTTGGCCAATAGCTTAATCATATTTGTAGTTAGCTCTTACTTCTTAAATTGACCCATTCCTATTATTTTGTATTTTACCTCGAGGCTCATGGTTAACAGCTAACATTCCATCAGGCAGGCGTCTTTCTCCTTTGGGGGCTACATGCCATCTCCCTGATCCTGCCTTCTTTTCTCCTCAATCTACTTGGAATTTTAACATTGCTCTATTCTGCCCATCATAGGCCAAAACAGCTTTATTCATTAACCAATAAAAGCAACACATATACAGAAGGACTTCCCACACCCACTGCCTTTATTTTCTACATTTATATACCCTACTCCAAAAGGGGAAGGGGGAGGCAACAGACTTCATTAACATGATCAAAGGAATAGACAGAGCATCTCTGACCTTTGGTCCTGGTGGAGCTGATACACCTCTGTACTCAAAATACTAACTAACCACCCTATGTCAGAACCTCTGTTTTATAGTCACTTGCTGTCAACAACTTGAAAGAACAAAATAAGCTCAAACTCTCTGACCTCTAGACAAGTTGGAGTGGACTCGCATCTGAGGACCCTCACAGTTCCTCCCTTTCAATTTATTTTAATAAAGCCTGTGCTTCTGCTAAAAGACAGATGGTCGTGCCTGGCTTCAGAGTCTTCTCCCCATTTTCCAGACTTACCTGTCACCGGTACATACATTCTATCATGTACAGTCTGTCTTAGGTTGCATGGGGGAAAGATCATACCCATCACTGACTACCAGCCTCTGTAAACAAAGTGTTAAGGGAGAGGGCACCTCCGGGCTCTGTGTACCTTCGAGCCAATTTTCTGTCAAGAGAGTTCACCAGCCATTAGATAATGATATGCAAGCAGATAATTCTTTGTGATACTCCTATGGCTACAATAAGGTCTGCTAATAAAGGAGTGTAGAGTGACCAGAGGTGGGGTCGCCTTCTAAACTGGTCTAGGATGTTGTTGTGCCAGTGTCACAGCACCCCAAACAAACGACCACAGAGCCGGAATTCGAAGCAAACACAAACAGGTTTATTACAACCCCAAACTTCGTCCACTGTCCAACACTCCAGTGCAGTGGGTGGAGGAGAGCGGTCCTGAGCATTTACAGGTCAGCATTTACATAGGAAAAACCACAAGTGGATCACAGCCTTGTCAGAGGTCTTGGGGTAGCTGACATTTAACCTGATTCTTTATGGCAAGGAGAAGCACAGAATTAAAGAGTAAAATAGATAAAAATACATCAGGCGTGGTTAGTAGCTGTCATTAGTCATGGTCAGTGACCAATTGTAACCTCATCAGTCATACCCAGGGTGTTGGACTCATTCTAGGAACTTGGGGGGACTTGAGATCATAGATAAGAGGAGTGGTCCTAGTTTAGTTCAAATTTGATCCTCACAATATCTTTAACAGTTTGTAGCTACAATCAAAATCCAAATTTGTTCTTTTAAACATATCAAATCTAAGGATATATCATATTAAAATTTTCTCAGACAAGCTCTACTCTTTTTCTAATCAGTAGCATCTTCATAATAAACTACAAACATTAACAGGTCAATACCATAACTCTAGCATAAACACACAGTTTGTGAAAGCACAATTCTCTTAAATCCGTTCTAATCAAAAGACAAAGTTTCTGTGATGGGTGAGCTATGAGTCCTTTTCTGTCCTACAGCTCCTATTGTGCCCTGTTTATACTCTTAGGGGATTTTCCTGAGAGTCTCCACAGGGACATCCCCTAAAGACCCTACCACTCCCAATTAGCATCACTGTAAGGAAGAGGCCCTTATGATGTCAAAGTCTGAGTGACACTCCTGGACATCCCACTGCTGCCCTGTGCTGTGGAGATCCTGCAGCTTTGGGTCTGTGGGTCAGGTCCCCACACTGTGCTCCAGCAGATCATGGATGTTGGAGCAGTCCAGGCATAACTCCTGGTGGGGTCCTGGGCAGCTGAGGTTGGTCCCACTAAATGGGAAACGGAAACATTCTCCCATAGTAACAATTTCTGTGTTGACTCTCCTACACCTGCTTTGCTGGTGCTGCAAAGTGCAGGGTGGGCCCAGGTTTTCTTTTTGGAGACTGGTTGTTTTTAGTCTTTATCTTTAAACTTGTAAATGTATTAAATTTTCATAAATGTATTTATCAATTTAAAGTCAAAGCCTGTTTTAAAAATAAGATATGGCTTAATATATTGCATAGCTTTTATCTAGTTTCAATCCTTTTGGTTCCAATATTTTCACAGCATGTGTCAAATGTACATAATTTTCCCAGGGTTTTCTTCAACTTTGTTGTCAGCCTCAGATCCACAGTGAGTTTTAATGTCCACTGAATATTTTTTGTCAGCATTTTCTGAAACTGTAGGACAAGAATTTTGTTGTATCTTTATCTTTCTTCTTGTACTGAAAACCCTCAACTAGGTTTTGCCTAGAGAATGAGCCTAGGACCTCATGCATCCCATTCAGCTACTGAGCTACATCCTGATAGAGGTAGAATAATCAGGAAACATCAGAATATACAGATGTTTCCTTGCTCTGGAAGCCAAGCAGAGCAATAGGTTGCAGAAAATGCCCGGTTCAACTGAACGGGGGTTAATTCCAAACACAATGCTTTTTTCTAGGCCTGAGAATCGATGGATGCTGTCAAACATATCAGGAGGATAGACAAATGCATCATCCATCTGAGACACTCTCCTCTTCCTCATTTCTCTCAGGAACTGATCTTTATATATATTTCTTTCCTCTTCCGTGCTGAAAAGCACAGCGATATCGTGGGGAGAGTAGCCACTCCTCAAGAAGGAGTTGCACTTATTTGCTACATAGTTCACCATCTCTCTCAAGCTCAAGTGTCTGAGCTCAAAGCTGCCTGTTACACCATGAGCCCAGGTAAATTCATTGAGCATCTCCAGGGACTCAGAAGGGATTGTGCATGGAGGGTTATCTCTGATTTCCTCTAACTTCTTCTGCAAGAACTCAGCTATTTTATCTGCATTGCGTACCACTCTTGTGAGCTCTTCCTTTGGATACTGGCATGAGAAAAGTGGGAGGCCACTCTGTTGCATGTGGCTGGTCTGAAAATAGTCCAGAAAGATCCAGAGAATTCCGGGACAATCTTTCTCTCTCTGAGTGATGAGCTTTGCCTTCTTATACCAGTCCCCATTTTCAGTGCGGAAATTCTGGGCTTCATCAACAATGATGTGTTGGATCATGTCTGTCTCAAACTCAATTTTCATGAAAGTTTTCCGGGTCACTGCCTGGCAAATATTTTTTGCCCTGTAACAGTGAAAAGGACATTAGGTTTTTCTTTAACAGCATCAATGCCCTGTGACACAGCACTGCTGTTATAGGTCTTTGTACTGTCTAATTCCCAAGAATCAGGGTCACTTCAGAGAAATATTCAAGACCAGACTGATAACACACAGATGTAAGATCCAACACTTACCTGATCAAATCCCTCAGGCGCTGATTCTCACAGATGTAGAGAATTCTATCTGCTTCACAATGAAATGTGTTCCTTATCTTTTCCATGATCTTGATGGCCATGACTGTCTTGCCTGACCCTGGTAAGCCATGCACAAACAGTTCCTTGTTTTTGCGGAGATTTTTTGAGAATATCTCATACTGTTGGGCTGTGAGAAGATTCAAAATTTCACAGCCAAGCTGGTCACTCAAGAAAGATCTGAAGTTGAGCAAGACAATCACAAGCGCCTGCAGCAAGGCTTCCATCTCCTGGGTGTTTGCAAGGTTATAGGAGGGTGGGTAATCTATAGGAGAGGGTGACCTCTCACTGGTCTCTTCATTGGTCTTGGATTCCAGGCAGAGAACCTTGGTCGTGACGCACACCCTCCCAGTGTAGCCACCAGTGTTCACTAGCTTCTGCTTGAGAGTAAAGGCAGTGTGGGTACAGTAGTCCTGTGCCCCCTCATCCTGCTGCCCAAAGATGGTGTAGAGGGTGGGAGGGCTATTCTCTGCAATCAGCAGAGCATCACAGATGACTCCCTGCCTCTCTTCCAAGTTCAGGTCCACAGCCCAGCTTCTCGAGAGGATCAGCAGACCACAGGGGACAGAGCACATTTGCTGGCTTAATAAGTCCTTCAGTCCCTCATTCTGTGAGCACAGCTCCTTCCAGAGGGATTCAGGAGTATATTTCAAACATCTTGGTGACACTGGACATGGGAAGAATAAACAAGATTTCAAATAAGTGTTTGTATATTCTTCTATGAATCATATATTATGTTTTTTTCCATATATTATGTTTAAAACAGAGAATTAAGATGATGACCAACACAAAATAAACTCAATGGTATTTCTTGCATTTTTTCCCTGTATATGCTTTGTTTGGGTACATTTCTTACCTTACAGGTCTTTTGCTTATTTATTATTGTTTCCGATTTTGTGTTCTTATGATGTATGTGTGTGTGTTTCTTGTTCTTTTTCTTTGGTTCTTATTTTTTGTTTGTTTTGCCCTATTCTGCTTTGTTTGTTTCAGTTGTCTATTTGTTTTACAGTGGGATAGAGAGGGGAAAGAATGTGGATTTGAGGGTAGGGAGTTATTGAGGAGCTGGGAGGAACAAGGGGTTAAAAAATGTGATCTGAATATGTTGTATGTAAACAATCTGTTTCAACAAAAATAAAGTTATAAAACATTTTCAAATAAAAAGGGAACAAAGCTCCTATGTGCAATATAACTTAAGGAAAATTCTGTCTGTCTGTATCCCCTGTAACTCATATTCCACCAAGCCAATGAAATGATGTTGCCTTCCCATTATCATACACAAAATTCAGTGCCAACCAAAGTGGAAGTTACTAAGCCCAAGGTTGTGCAGAAAAGAAATCTGTGCAGTTATTGTTACATTAGATTCTTCTACTATGGTGAAACCGTGCCTCTCTCATGCGCAGTGGTGATGATGTGCTTAGGGCCAATCCCGTGGCCAGGAGCATCGGCAGGCGCGCATCGGTCAATCCAGGCATGACTCGTTTCCTTACCCCCTATATAAGCAGCTGCCGCTTGGCGCTCGGGGGCCCCTCGCTTCCATTCTCCCTTCAACTAAGAGGCTCCAATAAAGCGTGATTTGCAGAAGAATCCTCGACTCGTGGTCGTCCTTCCCTGCTGGTCAGGGAGTGTGCTGCAACTGGTGCCGAAACCCCGGGATGCTGGGACAAGCTTTGGTACCGAGTGAGGGGCCAAAGAGGATTCAGAGAGACATCAGTGAGTGAGTCTCCCAGGGTCAAGAGGTGCCTCAATGGGTTCCATGCCGACTGACAAGAACCATTAAGGATGATTCAATTGCTCCCCAGCCAATGGAGGAAGGCCATGGTCTGATGGAGGAAGGTCACTGGCTAATAAAGAAACTGGCTTGGCCCATTTTATTGGTTAGAACATAGGTGGGTGGAGTAAACAGAAGAGAATGCTGGGAGGAAGAGGAAGTGAGGTCAGAAGTAATGCAGCTCCTCTCAGAGCCAGATGCCTCAGACAGAGAGGCATGCTCCGCTCTCCGGGGCAGATGCATGCAATGAAGCTCCTCTGACCCAGGATGGACTTAGGCTAGAATCTTCCCGGTAAGTGCACCTTGGGGTGCTTACACAGATGATTAGAAATGGGCTAAATTAATATATGAGAATTAGCCTAGAAGAGGCTGGATAGAAATGGGTCAAGCAGTGTTTAAATGAATACA